TGATGATGATGATGATGATGATGATGATGATGATGATGATGATGCTGCTGCTGCTGCTGCAAACAGAGGTAGAACGACAATGGGAAAAGAAAGCAAAGATAGTACCAATAGTAATAGGCCCTTGGGCACAATCCCAAAACATCTGGAGCACAACCTGAAGACCATCGGCATTGACAAAATCACCATCAGTCAATAGCAAAAGGCAGCTTTACTTAGAACAGCTTCCATCCTGCAACGATACCTTTAACACCATCAAACAATAAGATCTGCCCATCCCAGGCCCTGGGAAGGACTTGATAGGTGGACAAAAATGCCAAATCCAGTCTAAACATCTGGCTGGCTGTGCGACCAACCATCATCATCATCATTATCAAAAATAAAAATTTAAATTTATCTGCCACCCAACTCCCAGTGACTTTGGGCCCTTTACAATTGTTAAAACATTTTAAGAAACAAAGAACAATTTCAGTACCTCCACTAGAGAATGAAGTCAACAGAAAGCAATGCCCTGCGTGCTATTCTGGGTCAGGCGCATGCGATGAGGAGATGCTGAATTGTACTGGACCGGAAAAGTACTGCTTCCACATGTTTTCACGTACCTATGCAGGTAAGTCCCATTTCCCATGCGAAGGTGCCTGTGAGATTCATCTGGCAGCTGGATGGCACCTAACCCATCCATCACCTGCTGCAGGAAACTAACTGGAAAGCCCGTCTTCCCTATGAGAAGAGGAAGACCTTCTGTGAGTCTAAAAGGGGGCCCACCCTGTACTGAATCTGGATCCTCTTTGGATTTGATCCATGGATTGCAGTGATTGGGCTGACATCTTACATCCGTCCCACTCTAGGAATGCAAATGATATGCTAATAACATGGCAATGGGGCTAAGCTGATTTCCCCCCCCTTTCCCTCACTCCCATCCCATCCAGACCTCCAGCACTTTCTCGCACCCCAGACTTTTTCTCTGGGAAAGTGGAAACATGTCCCACAGTTACAGCCCCCTGTTCTTATTCTATTTATTGTTATTGTTTTAAAGAATATATATGAGATCCACATGTAGAAAAGAGATGTTTTATCGCAGCCAATGGGCAGCCAGTGAAACACCTTGTGTACAGAAAACTCAAAGAGATGTTTTATCGCAGCCAATGGGCAGCCAGTGAAACACCTTGTGTACAGAAAACTCAAAGAGATGTTTTATCGCAGCCAATGGGCAGCCAGTGAAACACCTTGTGTACAGAAAACTCGTAATGATTAATTAGTTAATTAGGGAAGCCTATCAGTCAAATGGTCACACATCTTACCTATTACATGACCACATTTGTCCACCTTTAAAGAAAGGGAATCACTTGAGTTTGAAAGTAAGAGTTTTAAATAAAATTGTTTGGAATGACCAGGGAATTTAGCTAAAAGGGGGATTAACAGCTTATGGCAATTGTCATTGTGAGATAAACAATATAATAAAATATGTTTCACTGGCTCCTTCTCTGCATGGGTGTAGTCTGAAATGGACTGGGATGGCCTCTCTAAAATTGCAGAGGGGAGCACATTAAACCATGCCAAGGCAAAGGTCTTCCTTAGTTTGGGGACAGTAATTTTGTTTTGATATTTGGCAGGTCTGCAAGGAGTAAGACTTAGAAATACATCTTTGGGGAGGGACATCAGTGGGCATAGCCCAGAAATATTTCTTGGAAATGAGTATGTCCTGGAGGCTGCTGTTTTGCTTATCAGATTCCAAAAGCATTTTACAAATGTTTTTGGAGCTCTAAGACATTCTGAGAATAATCTGGGGCAGGGGATCTGTTGGGCTCCAAGGGAACGTCAAGGTCTGAAGCAAACGTGTTTGCTTTGCACCAAGACAAAGGATTTATTTTGACCTAATGGATTGGATTGAAGACCAACTACAAGCACATGTGATTCCCCAGACTGCTTGTCTTGTCTTCCACGTCCAGATGGCATGCTTTGGGACTTGGCCATGAAAGGCTGTACCACCAAGTCCACGTGCAAATCAATAAACCGTGGACAAATGTCCATTCTGCAAGGTCGCAATACAGTAATTATAACATCCAGATGTTCACTGGCCACTTCTAAGGGGGTTTACCTCAATAAATTCTTCCTGCTGAACTTTGCTGGATTCCTGTTTCTGCAGACCTTCTTCTAAAAGACATTTGCTATGGAGCTGCATCAGCTTTGCATCTGAAGGATGTATTTATTTAATTCTTTATGCTTCGGTTTTGCCCCTACAGTGCTTCAAGGTGCCTTGATCTTCCCTGTTTGTACTGTTGCTCTGCTTTCTTCTGTAAAAATAAATAAGACATTTAAGCAAACCTGTATTGTGCAGTCAGATTTTAACAAGCTCTGGGAGAAATCAGGGAATGCCATAATTATTGAACTTGATTCCTTAAGATCTGGATATGACATCAAAATGAACTAGGGCAGGGAGCTCCCATGCCCCACTCCTCCCCTTTCTTCCTCAAGCAGAGGAAGAGTTGAAGGCAAAAAGATGCTTCAGAGCACACTCAGGAGGACATCTAGACAGTGCTTCTCAACCCTGGCAACTTTAAGACGTGTGGACTTCAACTCCTAGAATTCTCCAGCCAGCCTTGGG